TAAAAAGTTTTAACGGAATATTTACATTAAGACTTTGTATATTTTTATAATACTAACTTGTACCAACAAAAATCTTTTATAAAATCTTATAAAAATCTTATAAATTAAAAAAAAAAATGTTTATAGTTGCCTGGTTTACTTTATTAGTTTTGTATTGAAACTTAATATATGGATATTTATTGTTATTTTATGTAAAACTATTTGTTTTGTTCTTGAGTTACCTCTAAATTATATCGAATTTAAATATTTTGTAATTTAAAAAATATTTTGTGTTTAAGGTTGCTCTTCGATTTATCATTAAAGTAAAAGTAAAACGTCTGTTTATAGATTTTCAAGAGACAAAGAAAGGGACGACGCCTTAGATAAAATGTATTTCTAACGCAAATTTAATTGTCATGCAAAATTGTAGTCTGAACTTGGACAGAAATTAAAAAAAAGAATAAGAACGACTAAAAAGCCCCATTGGTTTGGCCTAATGTTACTTTCAGTCAAATATCAACATCTATGTTCTCTTTAGGATCAACTAAACGCGCATCTTTCTCTACCCAAAATTATTTTATTATTCTTGATAGTAATTTATTTTTATTAAACGCTTCACTTTTTATTTTAATAATTTTTGAGACATTGAAAAATAAAAACGCAATCGTTCTAGGTTATTGCTTTTATTATAGCTAGTAAACTTTGTGTTAAATCCAAAGACTTTTGTTTTATCTAATCATATCAAAAAACACGCAACTGAATCACCGTAAAACCCTAAACAGTTTAAACATAAGAAATATTGCTCATTTTGTTAAATTTATCATCACACTTGAAAAATTTAAATGTGAAAATTTTGAGCGTAAATTTTAGTTATAATGATGATCAATAACTCACAACAAAGATTCAAATAAGGAATCATTAAACGTATCAAAGATCCTATGAAGAATTTAGCACAACAAGTATCTGGTAAAGCATATTTTTTAAGTGTTTAACAAATAGTTAAAATGTTCAACATTAACGAAGCAACTTTTAATGCTGGACATTTTTATCAATTTTGTGTATTTTTACATGACAAGACTTTAGCCGCGGTCAATATATCAAAACATGAAAAAATTATAACTGTGTAATCAAGTATGCCTGTTCTTTTTATTGACAAATATTTTGTCTCGAAATTATAATTTTTTTACTCGGTAAAAAAATTACAATTTCGAGTAGGCAAATAATAATTTGCTCACTCGGTGAAGTTAAGGCGGTTTACAAATTATTCGAATTCTTTTATTTGGAGTTAACATGATTTTATCGGCGTAATATGTCCAAACAAGAGCTTTAGATGTTACAACTACTTTTTTTTTTTTTCTTTTAATTTTTTAGGTGCCCCAAGAAGTCCTTGCGGTCTTATACCACCGCGGAAGAGCATTTAATAGGAAGTTCACGCCTTCTTCCCAACCGATGTCGCGAAACTTGCCCAGAGGTTGGATTTGAACCACGGATCTTACGTATCTAAGGCAAGTGAGCACCCCTGCGCCACTTTTGTTTCAGGCTCTTTTAATATATAAAGAAACTTATCTTTTTTATTTGTAATTTTCAAAACCTTTTTACTACCCCAAATAGTGAATCTAAAGAACACCATTTTGGAGTCTTTAGATCACTTTTGCTCATCGGCGTTAACATGAATTTAGTTCAAATCTTTTTAAAAAGTGCTTTAATCCACTATAGATCCTACTTCTAATCGATTCTGACGTATATTAACTATATATAATTGTCAAAATACAATATTTCTATAAATTTTTACAAAATTACTAGAATTCTGACCAAGAAAGAGCTTATAATTTAAAAAAATTGCCAATAAACGATCAGAACAGATCATATGATTAAACTGTGATGCTCATTTCACCTAAACAATGAATTTATTTAAAACCTTATTCATATTTGGTCAAGCTATTGTGATTTTTTTTAAAAAAAGAGAATCTTTGGTCTGGGTTTTTTCCAAACAAACATTTATATTTTGAGGGATCGTCCATATATTTTGTGCATAAATTTAGTAAATTGTAGTTACTAAACTTTTATGTCTTAAATTTAGAACATACCAAATGTGAATATATCATATTCGTGCAATCTAATTCGTTTCCCGGCATTACTTATTGTTCTAGAGTGCGTTATTAGATTCCACAATGCATCATCAAAAACAATTAGCAACAAAAAAAACTTGAATCGGTATCATTCATCTTGTACTTACACATTTTGAAAAAATGTTATCAAAAAACAATGCAAATTATCTAAATTGCTTCAAGAATTTTTCTTAATCTTTTTTTTCCAAAAATTGTAAGTTTTGCTTTTATTAATTTAGATGCTCCAAGAAGTCATAATGGTCTTATCAGAGAGCACCGTGTTATAGCATCAAGTAAGAAAGTCCACACCTCCTTCCCTACAAATGATGCATAAATGGCCAGACCGGCTTCAAACCACTGACCTCCGGTTCTGAATCCAAAACTCTGAGCTTTTCACTACGGCTCCTATAAATAAAATGCTCAAAAAATTAGATAACGAATTTTAAAATATAAACAAAGGTATAACAGTTATTTACAAGACCAATCTATTACAACAATGAACGCCATTTTTTAAAATTTGTGAAACTATTAGGTAAAAACTTGAAATGCTCAATTTTTTTAATTCCGGCCAAATTTTTTGATAATGGTTTTTACCAACTTTCACGCTGTTCGGCGATAAGGCAAATTAATGCCTTCTTCTTGCTCCGACCATTAACTTAATTGTAAATTTATGTAAACTGCAATACTTATTAAACGGCAAAATATAATATTAACACCAACAAAGACCTCAACCAAAAAGACGTCTGATTAAAGAGATACTATTTATGTTTTATTCAAGGTGAATATTAGATGCAGGTCCTATGAGAAAGAATGCAATAGGAGCATTTTACCAGGACTCATTAGAATTTAGGGGCTTAAACATTAGAGTTATTTAATTTTTTTTAGCGCTAATAGTTGGATTGGATTTTCGTAATAAGGGTATAGAAATTTAAACAGCTTAGTATTTCAAATTATTATTCTATATATGTAATATTTTAATGTATGTAATATATTAAAATATTACATATATGTAATATTTTTAATTTTAATAAATGTAATACTTTTAATGTAATACTTTGAATTTAGTTAGTTCAGACCGTCTTCTCACGTAAATTTTGTTTACTTATGAATATATCGGTTTCTTAAAAGCGACGTATCATCGGCGAGTTACCAAAGAAACAAAGACCATGCACCGAATGGTCTTTGTTTCTTTGGTAACATCTTTTATTACTCTGATTAGGCTAGGGGCCGTCCATTGATTAGGCTAGGGGCCGTCCATTAATTATATAAAGATAAGAGAATGGAGGGAAATCTGAAAATTAGACAATTGTTGACAAGGGGGAGGGAGGATGTCAAAAAAAGTTAACGTAAAAACTTTTTCAAATAAATTCAACTACTTAAAAACACATTTAAAAAAGTTAGGAAAAAATTACGGAAAAAAAAAGTTAAGAAAGAAAACAAACAAATAAGTTTTATGTGACGATAAAAGATTTGGAGTTTGACAAAAAATATTACTAACACATTGCAAAGTTACTGTGGCAAAGCAATTAGGCAGAGCTTTATTAATTTATACAAAACAAAAAAGAACGCAGTAGCTCATCTTTTTCAATGTTCTAAAAGACTTAAAAAAAAAAAAAAAAATGAATTTGTATTTATTTGGGCATCAAGAATTCTTGATGCAAAACATACAAAGAAAATATTTGTATTTCTGCTGATGTGCAAAATTTGTGTCTGCACAATAAAACACGAATTCTAACAAGTCCTTAAATAAAATGGTTTGTAAGCGGTGTCTTAAGTATATATTTGTTGAAAGAGCTGCCTTATGTATTTGAGTTGAATCAGCTGTGCTATAATTTGATAATAGTATTCAATAACTTTTGGAGAGGTTTCAAACTACAAGAGAGGTTAAAGTTTTAGAAAGGTTATTTGATGTGTTTGAAATAACAGTAGGTTTCAATCTACATATCTTTTATCTTAGAAATAATTATACGCGTACTTTTAAAATAGAAAAATAATGTACGAATAAAATGAAGACGCAAGAAATGATAAAAATTTTTACGATTAAAACCTATTATTGGATTAAAAGCTATCTTACCAACAGAAAACAATATTTTTTTTTTTTTTTTTATTTGCATTCACTCCCAACAAGGCTGCAAGCAACCACTATTAAGTTGGGAGTTACTACGAAAAAAAAAGAACAGAGTTATAGAGCAAGGAAACGGTTGACAGAAGACTTGAAAAGTTGAAGGTTGTATGAGTCAGGAAAACATGAAGATGGGAGAGAGTTCCAAAGGATTGAAGTGCGGGGAAAAAAACTAGATGAATAAAAGTTTTTAGAGCATGCAAGGACAGATACAGTAAACGAATGAGATTTAGCTGAATGACGAGTAAAACGAGAATGAATTTTAGTTGATGGAACTAGAGATGATAACTCCTTTGAGCAGTGACCATGATAGTATCTGTAGAAAAGAGAAAGAGATGCAACTTTACGACGATGGGAAAGAGGTTCAAGATTAGCAGATAGTCCAGGTCCAACAACATTTACAATGCGTTTTTGGACCTTGTCAAGAAGAGAAAGTGAATCGTTAGAAGAACCAGCCCAAATATAACTACAGTATTCCATACAGGGACGAATAAGAGATTTGTAGAGGTAGAGAATGGAATCAGAAGTAAGGAAATGGCGAGCACGAGAAAGAGAAGCAACCTTTGCAGAAGCTAATTTAGCAATCGATTGTATATATGGTTTCCATGAAAGGTCAGTAGTAAGCGATAATCCAAGAAGACGTAAAGAGGAGGACTCAGTAAGAAGATTGCCATTCATTAATATAAGAATGTTGACCATATTACGGTAGTTGTTTGCTGGGTTTTGTTAGAGTTGAAATTCACAAGCCACTGTGAACCCCAATCTATTACTGAAGTGAGATCAGATTCAAG